ACGAGCCGGACCAGGGGTATTCGTCCAAAGGGTATCCTACATGAAGAAATCACTAATGTGAAATCTTCAGTAAGGACACAAACCTTTGTTGCGTGGAACCCTAAACCACGAACCTACATTCAATTTAAATTTCTTTTATAAAAGAAATAAAAATATCTTGTAGAGGTACTTCGGGATTTTCAGTGGTAGCTAGGTTACCACCAAAAATCACTCACCAACAGCAAGCTGATGGTGATATGCTGACGACCACCCACAAGGAGTGGCAGGGACAAAACAAAGAGGATAGGATAGGATGAACACATAGACACATCGTGATCTAGACTGCACTGCCAGATTGTTGACTACAGCAACAGCAGTGCATTAACTTATTTCACTCAGCTGAATAGTAAGCTCTGGCTGGGTTGACAAACCAGATACTGTAGATAATTAACTGACTGAAAAGACACCATGGCAAGTTTAAATGACTAACCAGGAATTGGAGTTCTAGTCTATCTCGCATTTTTTTTTTTTTTTAAGTTATGAGGTACATCTGCATTAGTGCAGCTACCCTACCTACCTTACCTTACCTTGAGGTGCTTCCGGGGCTTAGTGTCCTCGCGGCCCGGTCGTCGACCAGGCCTCCTGGTTGCTGGACTGATCAACCAGGCTGTTAGACGCGGCTGCTCGCAGCCTGACGTATGAGTCACAGCCTGGTTGATCAGGTATCCTTTGGAGGTGCTTATCCAGTTCTCTCTTGAACACTGTGAGGGGTTTGCCAGTTATGCCCCTTATGTGTAGTGGAAGCGTGTTGAACAGTCTCGGGCCTCTGATGTTGATAGAGTTCTCTCTCAGAGTACCTGTTGCACCTCTGCTTTTCAACGGGGGTATTCTGCACATCCTGCCATGTCTTCTGGTCTCATGTGGTGTTATTTCTGTGTGCAGGTTTGGGACCAGCCCCTCAATTATTTTCCACGTGTAAATTATTATGTATCTCTCCCGCCTGTGCTAAAGGGAGAACAGGTTTAGGCTCTTTAGTCGGTCCCAGTAATTTAGATGTTTTACTGAGTGGATTATATCAGTAAAGGAAGAGCGCCTGCACGCTCTCTAGGTCAGCAATTTCTCCATAGAGATTAGTTGATTATGAGATTAGAATTATCTCCATAATTGGTGACTATACCCTAGACTATATGAAGTGGAGTACCGTGTGTCAAAAAAGCTAACTAGGTGATGCTATAAAATCCCCATCACACAGGATGGTTAGTCATACAGAGGCTTGTGATAAGCGGTCTGCACTGGCAGACTTCGGATGCATTTTGAGGATATCAACAACACAAGATTGAATAAGGTAGCAGTGGTAATACAAGTCCCCATCTCGCAGGATGGTTAGTCATACAGAGGCATGTGATAAGCGGTCTGCACTGGCAGACTCCGGATGCATTTTGAGGATATCAACAACACAAGATTGAATAAGGTAGCAGTGGTAATACAAGTCCCCATCTCGCAGGATGGTTAGTCATACAGATCTCGCAGGTCCCTCGGTTCTACTCCATCAGACCCTCTATTCTTGACCGTCACTTTTAGTTCACCTACCAGGCCCGCTTTTAGACCATCATTCATGCTCTTGATTCCATTCCATAACTCAAGACCCTCGCCTTCAGACCATCATCGTGGCACTTGCTTATACTCCACCATCTAAACACTTGCAGACCATAACCCGTACTTTCACTTATAATCCCCAACCCTTGCGTCCAGTCCAACATCCATTCTCTGGCTTCCCATCATTATGACACTCGCTTCTAGCCTACCACACGGGCTCTTAACTGACCAAGGCCTTCGCCTGTGATCCATCACCCAAGACAGACCCTCTGTTCTTGACCGTCACTTCTAGTTCACCCACCAGGCCCGCTTTTAGACCATCATTCATGCTCTTGATTCTATTCCATAACTCAGACCCTCGCCTTCAGACCATCATCGTGGCACTTGCTTATACTCCACCATCTAAACACTTGCAGACCATAACCCGTACTTTCACTTATAATCCCCAACCCTTGCTTACAGTCCAACATCCATTTTCTGGCTTCCCATCATCATGACACTCGCTTCTAGAATACCACACGGGCTCTTAACTCAGACCTATGATCAAGGCCTTCGCCTGTGATCCATCACCCAAGTCCTCGCCTGTGACTCATAACCAAAGCCCCCGCCTGTGACTCATAGCCCAAGCCCTCGCCTGTAGCCTATAACCCACACCCTAGCATTTAACCGATCACAAAGCTTTTCGCCTCTAACCCATCTCCCAGACCCTAGCCCATCAAGGTCATCGCCTTCAAGTCAATCATCCAGACCCCTCGAGTGTGGCCCATCACCCAAGCCCTTCACTATGGCTCATCACCCAAGCCCCTATAGCCCATCAACTAGGCCCTCGCCTGTCGCCCAATACTCATGTCGTCCCCTGTTGTGCATCATGAATCGCCTGAGACCTATCACCTAGACTATTCCCTCACTTCTAGTCCATCGTGAAAGCCCTCGTTTTTGGGCCATCGCGAAGGCTCTCGGCTATGGCTCGTCATAAAGACATTCGCCTGTGGCCCACCACCCAGAACCTTTCCCAGATCCCTGGATGCGGCTTTTCACCTTGAAAGAGTCACATCACCCCAAGCCTTCGCCAGAGTCCCATCACGCCAGTCTCATCACACCAAGCCTTCGCCTGGATCTCATTACACCAAGCCTTCGCCTGAATCTAATCAAACCAAACCTTCGTCTGAATCTCATCACACCAAACCTTTGCCTTATCACACCAAGCCTTCGCCTGAATCTCATCACACCAAGCCTTCGCCTAAATCTCATCACACCAAGCCTTCGCCTGAATCTAATCAAACCAAACCTTCGTCTGAATCTCATCACACCAAGCCTTCGCCTGAATCTAATCAAACCAAACCTTCGTCTGAATCTCATCACACCAAGCCTTCGCCTGAATCTAATCAAACCAAACCTTCGTCTGAATCTCATCACACCAAGCCTTCGCCTGAATCTAATCACATCAAATCTTTACCAGAGTTCCATCACACCAAGCCTTCGCCTGAATCTCATCACACCAAAGCCTTTGCCTGAATCTCATCACACCAAGCCTTCGCCTGAATCTCATCACACCAAGCCTTCGCCTAAATCTCATCACACCAAGCCTTCGCCTAAATCTCATCACACCAAGCCTTCTTTATCTCATCACACCAAGCCTTTGCCTTTATCTCATCACACCAAGCCTTTGCCTTTATCTCATCACATCAAGACTTTGCCAGTCTCATCACACCAAGCCTTCGTCTATGTCTCATCACTCCAAGCCTTCGCCTTTGTCTCATGACACCAAGCCTTTGCCTTTATCTTATCACATCAAGCCTTGTCAGTCTCATCACACCAAGCCTTTGCCTTTATCTCATCACATCAAGACTTTGCCAGTCTCTTCACACCAAGCCTTCGTCTTTGTCTCATCACTCCAAGCCTTCGCCTTTGTCTCATGACATCAAGCCTTTGCCTTTATCTCATCACATCAAGACTTTGCCAGAGTCTCATCACACCAAGCCTTCGCCTTTATCTCATCACACCAAGCCTTCGCCTTTGTCTCATGACATCAAGCCTTTGCCTTTGTCTCATCACACCAAGCCTTCGCCTTTGTCTCATCACACCAAGCCTTTGCCTTTATCTCATCACATCAAGACTTTGCCAGTCTCATCACACCAAGCCTTCGCCTTTATCTCATCACACCAAGCCTTCGCCTTTGTCTCATCACACCAAGCCTTCGCCTTTATCTCATCACATCAAGACTTTGCCAGAGTCTCATCACACCAAGCCTTTGCCCGTCTCATCACACCAAGCCTTTGCCTCATCACACCAAGCCTTTGCCTTTGTCTCATCACACCAAGCCTTTGCCTTATCACACCAAGCCTTTGCCTTTGTCTCATCACTCCAAGCCTTCGCCTGAGTCCCATCATCCCAAGCCTTTGCCTGAGTCCCATCATCCCAAGCCTTTGCCTGAGTCCCATCATCCCAAGCCTTCGCCCGAGTCCCATCATACCAAGCCTTCGCCTTAGTCCCATCACCACAAACCTTTGCCTAAGTCCCATCAACCTGATACTCGCTTCTAGCCTATCACCCGGACCCTTGCCTTTAGTCTATCACACCAGACCCTAGTATCTCGACTATTACCCTAGTTTCTAGTCCATCACTCATTCCCTCACTTATAGTCCACCACCCTAGATTTTAGCTGGCAGTCCATCACCCATTTCCTCCTTTCTAGTCCATAACGCTTTCCTTTGCCTCTAGCCCATCACGCTTTCCCTTGCTTCTAGTGCATCACGCTTTCCCAAGCTCTTCTAGCTTTCCCTTGCTCATCACGCTTTCCCTTGGCATCATGCTTTAAGTCCATCATGCTCCCTTGGCCTTGTCCATCTCACTAGTCCCTCATGCTTTCCCTTGGCGCTAGTCCCTCATGCTTTCCCTTGGCTCTAGTCCCTTCATCCCAAGCCTTCGCCTTAGTCCCATCACCACAAACCTTTGCCCAAGTCCCATCATCCTGATACTAGTCCATCATGCGTTCCCTGCGTCCTAGTGTATTTATCATGTCGACACATCCATTACCCCTACCTGTGTAGGGGTAATGGAGGTCCTACCCATCACGCAGGATCTTGCGTGTTGCCTATCATTCACGTTCTCGCGTATTGCCCATAAACGAGCCCCTCGCCTGTAGCCCATCACCCTGCCTCTAGTCTCTAGACATCTCCCAGGCCTTAGCCTGTAGCCCATCACCCTGACTCTAGCCTCCAGCATATCACAAAGGCCTTAACCTATAGCCCATCACCCTGCCTCTAGACATCATCCAGGCCTTAGCCTGTAGCCCATCACCCTGACTCTAGCCTCTAGAACATTATCCAGGCCTTAGCCTGTAGCCCATCACCCTGACTAGCCTCTAGGACATCATCCAGGCGTTAGCCTGTAGCCCATCACCCTGACTCTAGACATCATCCAGGCCTTAGCCTGTAGCCCATCACCCTGACTATCCTCTAGGACATCATCCAGGTCTTAGCCTGTAGCCCATCACCCTGCCTCTAGTCTCTATACATCATCTAGGCCTTAGCCTGTAGCCCATCACCCTGCCTCTAGAACATCATCCAGGCCTCAGCCTGTAGCCCATCACCCTGACTAGCTTCTTGGACATCTTCCAGGCTTTAGCCTGTAGCCCATCACCCTGCCTCTAGTCTCTAGACATCATTTAGGCCTTAGCCCATCACCCTGCCTCTAGTCTCTAGACATCATTTAGGCCTTAGCCCATCACCCTGCCTCTAGTCTCTAGACATCATCTAGGCCTTAGCCTGTAGCCCATCACCCTGACTCTAGCCTCCAGCCTATCATCCAGGCCTTAACCAGTAGCCCATCACCCTGACTAGCCTCTAGGACATCATCCAGGCCTTAGCCTGTAGCCCATCACCCTGACTCTAGCCTCTAGACATCATCCAGGCCTTAGCCTGTAGCCCATCACCCTGACTCTAGCCTCTAGATCATCCAGACCTTAGCCTGTAGCCCATCACCCTGCCTCTAGTCTCTAGACATCATCCAGGCCTTAGCCTGTAGCCCATCACCCTGACTCTAGCCTCTTGGACATCATCCAGGCCTTAGCCTGTAGCCTATCACCCTGACTATAGCCTCTAGGACATCATCCAGGCCTTAGCCTGTAGCCCATCACCCTGACTAGCTTCTTGGACATCATCCAGGCCTTAGCCTGTAGCCCATCACCCTGCCTATAGAACATCATCCAGGCCTTAGCCTGTAGCCCATCACCCTGCCTATAGAACATCATCCAGGCCTTAGCCTGTAGCCCATCACCCTCACTAGCTTCTTGGACATCATCCAGGCTTTAGCCTGTAGCCCATCACCCTGCCTATAGAACATCATCCAGGCCTTAGCCTGTAGCCCATAACCCTGCCTCTAGTCTCTAGACATCATCCAGGCCTTAGCCTGTAGCCCATCACCCTGCCTCTAGTCTCTATACATCATCCAGGCCTTAGCCTGTAGCCCATCACCCTGCCTATAGAACATCATCCAGGCCTTAGCCTGTAGCCCATCACCCTGCCTCTAAAGAACATCATCCAGGCCTTAGCCTGTAGCCCATCACCCTCACTAGCTTCTTGGACATCATCCAGGCCTTAGCCTGTAGCCCATCACCCTCACTAGCTTCTTGGACATCATCCAGGCCTTAGCCTGTAGCCCATCACCCTGCCTATAGAACATCATCCAGGCCTTAGCCTGTAGCCCATCACCCTGCCTCTAGTCTCTATACATCATCCAGGCCTTAGCCTGTAGCCCATCACCCTGCCTCTAGTCTCTATACATCATCCAGGCCTTAGCCTGTAGCCCATCACCCTCACTAGCTCTAGGACATCATCCAGGCCTTAGCCTGTAGCCCATCACCCTGCCTATAGAACATCATCCAGGCCTTAGCCTGTAGCCCATCACCCTCACTAGCTTCTTGGACATCATCCAGGCCTTAGCCTGTAGCCCATCACCCTGCCTATAGAACATCATCCAGGCCTTAGCCTGTAGCCCATCACCCCCTAGCCTCTAGACATCATCCAGGCCTTAGCCTGGAGCCCATCACCCTGCCTCTAGTCTCTATACATCATCTAGTCCTTAGCCTGTAGCCCATCACCCTGACTATAGATCATCATCCAGGCCTTAGCCTGTAGCCCATCACCCTCACTAGCTTCTTGGACATCATCCAGGCCTTAGCCTGTAGCCCATCACCCTCACTAGCTTCTTGGACATCATCCAGGCCTTAGCCTGTAGCCCATCACCCTGCCTATAGAACATCATCCAGGCCTTAGCCTGTAGCCCATCACCCTGCCTATAGAACATCATCCAGGCCTTAGCCTGTAGCCCATCACCCTGCCTAAAGAACATCATCCAGGCCTTAGCCTGTAGCCCATCACCCTCACTAGCTTCTTGGACATCATCCAGGCCTTAGCCTGTAGCCCATCACCCTGCCTATAGAACATCATCCAGGCCTTAGCCTGTAGCCCATCACCCTGCCTCTAGTCTCTAGACATCATCCAGGCCTTAGCCTGGAGCCCATCACCCTGCCTCTAGTCTCTATACATCATCTAGTCCTTAGCCTGTAGCCCATCACCCTGCCTATAGAACATCATCCAGGCCTTAGCCTGTAGCCCATCACCCTGCCTCTAATCTCTAAACATCATCCAGGCCTTAGCCTGTAGCCCATTGGACATCATCCAGGCCTTAGCCTGTAGCCCATCACCCTCCTAGCTTCTTGAACATCATCCAGGCCTTAGCCTGTAGCCCATCACCCTGCCTCTAGTCTCTAACATCATCCAGGCCTTAGCCTGTAGCCCATCACCCTGCCATCATCCAGGCCTTAGCCTGTAGCCCATCACCCTCACTAGCTTCTTGGACATCATCCAGGCCTTAGCCTGTAGCCCATCACCCTGCCTATAGAACATCATCCAGGCCTTAGCCTGTAGCCCATCACCCTGCCTATAGAACATCATCCAGGCCTTAGCCTGTAGCCCATCACCCTGCCTATAGAACATCATCCAGGCCTTAGCCTGTAGCCCATCACCCTCACTAGCTTCTTGGACATCATCCAGGCCTTAGCCTGTAGCCCATCACCCTGACTCCAGCCTCTAGGATATCATCCAGGCCTTAGCCTGTAGCCCATCACCCTGCCTATAGAACATCATCCAGGCCTTAGCCTGTAGCCCATCACCCTGCCTATAGAACATCATCCAGGCCTTAGCCTGGAGCCCATCACCCTGCCTCTAGTCTCTATACATCATCTAGTCCTTAGCCTGTAGCCCATCACCCTGCCTATAGAACATCATCCAGGCCTTAGCCTGTAGCCCATCACCCTCACTAGCTTCTTGGACATCATCCAGGCCTTAGCCTGTAGCCCATCACCCTGCCTATAGAACATCATCCAGGCCTTAGCCTGTAGCCCATCACCCTGCCTATAGAACATCATCCAGGCCTTAGCCTGTAGACATCATCCAGGCCTTAGCCTGTAGCCCATCACCCTGCTTATAGAACATCATCCAGGCCTTAGCCTGTAGCCCATCACCCTGCCTAAAGAACATCATCCAGGCCTTAGCCTGTAGCCCATCACCTTCACTAGCTTCTTGGACATCATCCAGGCCTTAGCCTGTAGCCCATCACCCTGCCTATAGAACATCATCCAGGCCTTAGCCTGTAGCCCATCACCCTGCCTATAGAACATCATCCAGGCCTTAGCCTGTAGCCCATCACCCTCACTAGCTTCTTGGACATCATCCAGGCCTTAGCCTGTAGCTCATCACCCTGCCTCTAGTCTCTAGACATCATCCAGGCCTTAGCCTGTAGCCCATCACCCTCACTAGCTTCTTGGACATCATCCAGGCCTTAGCCTGTAGCCCATCACCCTGCCTATAGAACATCATCCAGGCCTTAGCCTGTAGCCCATCACCCTGACTAGCTTCTTGGACATCATCCAGGCCTTAGCCTGTAGCCCATCACCCTGCCTATAGAACATCATCCAGGCCTTAGCCTGTAGCCCATCACCCTGCCTATAGAACATCATCCAGGCCTTAGCCTGTAGCCCATCACCCTGCCTATAGAACATCATCCAGGCCTTAGCCTGTAGCCCATCACCCTCACTAGCTTCTTGGACATCATCCAGGCTTTAGCCTGTAGCCCATCACCCTGCCTATAGAACATCATCCAGGCCTTAGCCTGTAGCCCATAACCCTGCCTCTAGTCTCTAGACATCATCCAGGCCTTAGCCTGGAGCCCATCACCCTGCCTCTAGTCTCTATACATCATCTAGTCCTTAACCTGTAGCCCATCACCCTCCCTCTAGAACATCATCCAGGCCTTAGCCTGGAGCCCATCACCCTGCCTCTAATCTCTAGACATCATCCAGGCCTTAGCCTGTAGCCCATCACCCTCACTAGCTTCTTGGACATCATCCAGGCCTTAGCCTGTAGCCCATCACCCTGCCTATAGAACATCATCCAGGCCTTAGCCTGTAGCCCATCACCCTGCCTATAGAACATCATCCAGGCCTTAGCCTGTAGCCCATCACCCTGACTATAGATCATCATCCAGGCCTTAGCCTGTAGCCCATCACCTTCACTAGCTTCTTGGACATCATCCAGGCCTTAGCCTGTAGCCCATCACCCTAGCCTATAGAACATCATCCAGGCCTTAGCCTGTAGCCCATCACCCTGCTTATAGAACATCATCCAGGCCTTAGCCTGTAGCCCATCACCCTGCCTATAGAACATCATCCAGGCCTTAGCCTGTAGCCCATCACCCTCACTAGCTTCTTGGACATCATCCAGGCCTTAGCCTGTAGCCCATCACCCTGCCTATAGAACATCATCCAGGCCTTAGCCTGTAGCCCATCACCCTGCCTATAGAACATCATCCAGGCCTTAGCCTGTAGCCCATCACCCTCACTAGCTTCTTGAACATCATCCAGGCCTTAGCCTGTAGCCCATCACCCTGCCTATAGAACATCATCCAGGCCTTAGCCTGTAGCCCATCACCCTGCCTATAGAACATCATCCAGGCCTTAGCCTGTAGCCCATCACCCTGCCTATAGAACATCATCCAGGCCTTAGCCTGTAGCCCATCAGCCTATCCAGGCCTTAGCCCATCACCCTCAGCTTCTTAAGACATCATCCAGGCCTTAGCCTGTAGCCCATCACCCTGCCTATAGAACATCATCCAGGCCTTAGCCTGTAGCCCATCACCCTGCCTAGCTTCTAGAACATCATCCAGGCCTTAGCCTGTAGCCCATCACCCTCACTAGCTTCTTGGACATCATCCAGGCCTTAGCCTGTAGCCCATCACCCTGCCTATAGAACATCATCCAGGCCTTAGCCTGTAGCCCATCATCACCTCACTAGCTTCTTGAACATCATCCAGGCCTTAGCCTGTAGCCGTCACCCTGCCTCTAGTCTCTAGACATCATCCAGGCCTTAGCCTGTAGCCCATCACCCTCACTAGCTTCTTGGACATCATCCAGGCCTTAGCCTGTAGCCCATCACCCTGCCTAGAACATCATCCAGGCCTTAGCCTGTAGCCCATCACCCTGACTAACATCATCCAGGCCTTAGCCTGTAGCCCATCACCCTGCCTATAGAACATCATCCAGGCCTTAGCCTGTAGCCCATCACCCTGCCCTGCCTATAGCCCATCACATCATCCAGGCCTTAGCCTGTAGCCCATCACCCTCACTAGCTTCTTGGACATCATCCAGGCTTTAGCCTGTAGCCCATCACCCTGCCTATAGAACATCATCCAGGCCTTAGCCTGTAGCCCATAACCCTGCCTCTAGTCTCTAGACATCATCCAGGCCTTAGCCTGGAGCCCATCACCCTGCCTCTAGTCTCTATACATCATCTAGTCCTTAACCTGTAGCCCATCACCCTGCCTGTAGAACATCATCCAGGCCTTAGCCTGGAGCCCATCACCCTGCCTCTAATCTCTAGACATCATCCAGGCCTTAGCCTGTAGCCCATCACCCTGACTAGCCTCTTGGACATCATCCAGGCCTTAGCCTTTAGCCCATCACACAGTGCCTTTCCTATTACCCAGGTCCAGGCCCATCAACTCTAACCATCGCCTGTTGCGAATGACAAAGGACCTTGCCTCTAGTCTACCATCTCTGAAGCACTAACTCCTAGTTGAACACCCAGGCCCTTACCTCTTAGTCTATCATTCAGACACCCTGATTGTGGCCCATCACGGAGCTAAGATCGATTCTAAGCTTTTGAATATTTTGTCCTAAATGCGGTGCTAGTTATAAGGTTCAGTGGGATATTTAGGTTTACTAGGTCAAGGAAAATGAGGTTAGATGAGCAATATCACATCGGGCAGACTCATAAGAGGAGCCTCATCGGACAAAGTCTCACCAGGGAAAAGGAAGGTAATTTTAGGTTAACTAGGTTGTAGGATAGTTAGGTTTGATAAGAATAATATCCCGTCGGGCAGACTCATAAGAGGAGCCTCACTGGATATATGTTAGAAGACATTTGGTAAGAATAGCATCCGCTTGGGACAAGAAACATTCTTGGCAAGGCCTTAGCCTGTAGCCCATCAGTCCATCACCTAGGTCTAGGTTATCATCCAGGCCTTAGCCTGTAGAATCACCCTCACCCGTCGGGCAGACATATCATTCATGGATAATAGCCTTAGCCTTTAGCCATCACTGCCTCGATGATTATCCAGCCCCCCACTTATATCGCCATGCATTAGCACTCGACTCCAGCCCATTACCTAGACTCTCTACCGTGGCCTACCACCCAGGTCCTTGCCCTCCTAAGTCCAATAAAACATCCTAGGTTCTTAATTCTAGTCCATCACCCAGGTCCCTCGGTTGTTGTCTATAGAAGGTCCCTAGCTTCATCTTATTACCTTGGCTCACATAGTCCATCACCCAGGTAACTTAGGCATGTAGGATATTATCCATTTGATAAGAATAATATCCCGTCGGGCAGACTCATAAGAGGAGCCTCACTGGATATATGTTAGAAGACATTTGGTAAGAATAGCATCCGCTTGGGACAAGAAACATTCTTGGCAAGCCCTCACTCCTAGTCCATTACCCAAAACCTCCTAGGTTCTTAATTCTAGTCCATCACCCAGGTCCCTCGGTTGTTGTCTATCACGAAGGTCCCTAGCTTCTTGTCTTATTACCTTGGTTCTCACTTCTAGTCCATCACCCAGGACTTCGCATGAAGCATATTATCCATGCCATTGACATGGATAATATGCAACTTCCAGTCGTTTGCTTCTCGATGATCATCCAGCCCCCCGCTTATAGTCCATCATAACGCACTCGACTCCAGCCCATTACCTAGACTCTCTACCGTGGCCTACCATACAGGTCTTTCACAGTGACTTAACACCCAGGCCCTCGCCCGTGACCAATTTCCTAGACCTTCACCCAGGCCCCCCGCCGAGATCATGTGGCCCATAATCTAGGCCCTCACATGTGGCCTATAAACCTAGGCCATATTCCCACCCAGGGCCTCGCCTGTTGCCCATCACCCAGACCCTCGCATCTAACCCATCACCCAGACTAGCCTATTGGACATCATTCAGGCCCTTGCCTGTAGCCCATCATCTAGATCCTTGATCATTCTCCATCACGAAGGCCCTCAACTGTGGCCTATCGCCTAGACCCCTAGCCTTTGACGCCATCACGCAGGCCCTTGCGTGTTGCCTATCGTTCACGTTCTCACGTGAATGCCTATAAACGAGCCCCTCACCTATAACCTCGCCTGTGGCCCACCACAGAGACCATTGCGTGCAGCCCATCACCGATACACCCTCGCCCGTTACCGTAGCTCTCACCTAAGGCCCATCACAAACCCTCGCCTAAAGTCCATCATCCAATGTCATCGCTTGTGGCTCATCACCCAGGCCCTTTCATTTAGCACATCACAAAGGTTTTCGCCTCTAAACCATCAAAAACTTACTCGCCTCTCGCTCAGACCTCAGTCTATCATCCAGACCCCCTTGCCTCAGTCCATCATCCAGATTCCTTGCCTATGACCACCAATAAAGGCATTCACATCTAACCCATCACTCAAGACTCCTCGACCCTCGACTACGGCCAACAAATATTTCTACTTCGGCCGGGAATCGAACCCGGACCCTTAGAACTACGACCCCCGAGCGCTGTCCACTCAGCCGCGAGGTCCCGTGGCCGAGGTACATCACTCAGGACCTTTGCCTGAATGCTCTTCTCCCTCGCCCATCCTTGTGGCCCACCACCATTTAGCCTGAAGACCAACATCCAGATCCTAGCCTGTGGATCATCAACAAGGCCCGAGGAACCATTAACAAAGTCCTCGCCTAATAGCCCTTTGTCCAGACCCTCGCCTATAGCCTTTTGTCCAAGGCCTCGCCTATAGCCCATCGTCAAGGCCTCGCCTGTAGCATATCGTCAAGGCCCTCACCTGTAGCCCATCATCCAGGCCCCTCACCCATAGCCCATCGTGCAGGCCCTCACATGAAGCCCATCGCCCAGGCCCTCGCCTATGGCCTATCGTCCAAGTTCTCGCCTACAGCCCATCGCAGAGACCCTCGCCTGTAGCCCATCACCCAAACTCTAGCCTCTAGGACATCATCCAGGACTTTGCCATTTACCTTAGCCTGTGGACCATCACCATTTAGCCTGTGGACCATCACCATTTAGCCTATGGACTATCACCCCAGATCCTAGCCTATGGACCATCACCAGGCCCTTCTTGTGGCCCATCGTCCAGACCCCTCGCCTATAGCCCATCGTTCAGACCCCTCGCCTATAGCCCATCGTCCAGACCCCTCGCCTGTAGCCCATCGTCCAGGCCCTTGCCAATAGCCCATTACCCAGACACTCGCCTATAACCCATCGTCCAGACTCGCCTGTAGCCCATTGGCCAGACCCTCGCCTGTAGCCCATCGTCCAGACCCCTCGCCTGTAAACCATAAGTCCAGACCCTCGCCTATAGCCCATCATCCAGACTCGCCTGTAGCCTATCCTCCAGGCCCTAGCCTCTGGCCCATCACCCACACTCGCTTCATCTATAACTCGGCCCCTCGCCTCAGACCCCATCAGCCAGTCCCTATCACCCAGGCATCCGCATCAGACCCCATCAGCCAGTCCCTATCACCCAGGCATCCGCATCAGACCCCATCAGCCAGTCCCTATCACCCAGGCATCCGCATCAGACCCCATCAGCCAGTCCCTATCACCCAGTCATCCGCATCAGACCCCATCAACCAATCCCTTACCTGTGGCCCCATCCCATCACCTATGCCCTCGCCAGTAATGCATAACCCATTCCCTCGCCTCTTTTCCATCATTGTAGACACTAGTGTCTAAACCATCGTCTAGTCCCTAACATCTATTCCATTACCCATTTCCTCGTATCTAGGCCATCACAGGGAGCCTTTAATAAATTTGATTAAATTAAGTCAAGATGGCTCTATTTAGGTTTGGTTTAGTATAATAAACTTAAATTTTCTAAGTTTCTAATTTGTTTTGTAGTAAATTCTGAAAATCAATCCATCATTAAACAGCTATGTTTCTTTCATTAGCTATCAAAACGTGGCTCTTGACCTCCTCACAGAATCTTAGCGGTTTTCTTTGCAACACTATACTATATCTGAATAAAATACTAAATATTTAATAATTAAATCCTTCAACATGGAAAATTAATATCCAAAGAAATATTTAATAATTAAATCCTTAATCATGGAAAATTAATATCCAATTTCCCATTTTCATGGGATTAGGTACTTTGCAAAGAGGTTCACAATGCCTCTTCCTATTTTCATTGAATGTTGCAGGGAGCAAGCTGCATGTGGGGCTTCTTTTAACATTGTTGGGGTTGCCAGATTGAGAAACTAATAACAAACCCTAGTTTTACAATATTAATTTCACCATATCCGGGACTATATCACTGATAATTCATCTTTAGCGTTTACTAATTTACTTTTCAAATTTGTAATTAAATACTGTGCAATACTTACACTAAAATATTGCAGTCGGCTGAATTTTCTTCCTCGAATGACATAGGTTAAACTGGTAGTGCCCTCGCTTTAAGTCCTCCACGGCTGCGAGTAGACTTAAATTTCAGCATTGAAGACTGCATCTGCAAAATATATGCTTTTAAATATTTTAATACATTGATGTGATTAATGCGTCATAATACTGTGACTTCAACAATTAAATACAATGCTCACAAAACGAAAATGAAAACAGTTGACATGTCTCTATGGTAATGACCGAAGATGGTATGAAAACCTCATAAACTCTAGAAATTCAACGCAGGAAATTCAATGCAGGAGCTTACTGGTTTTTAAGTCATTGACTATTTGAAAAACGTAAATAACAATGATTTTACTAACCACTTTAGTTAAGTAATTATAGTGATTAATGTCACAAGAAAGTTATTAAAAGAATACTTAAATTTCATATGCATATACTACTTTGCTTAAAAATTTTACAATTTAATAATACAAATCAATATAGGTCTACCTACTATGGAGGACATAATTAAGTTAAACTGGTACGGTTAGCTCTATATGTCCGTCCTTAACCCTCTGCATCTCTTCCATTAAGTGTCCAAGATCCAGCTATATCTCTTCCATTAATTGTCCAAGATCCAGCTACATCTCTTCCATTAATTGTCCAAGATCCAGCTACATCTCTTCCATTAACTGTCCAAAATGTGGCTTTTGACCTCTCCGCAATCTTAGCTGGTGTCTTTGTCTACCTCACTAAATACTATCACATGTTCTTAATTATAGAAAATTTGTATCTAAATTCCCCATTTACATGAGATTTAATATTTAGCCAAGAGGTTCTCAATGTTTGTATCTAAATTTCCCATTTTCATAGGATTTAATATTTAGCCAAGAGGTTCTCAATGTTTGTATCTAAATTTCCCATTTTCATAGGATTTAATATTTAGCCAAGAGGTTCTCAATGCCTCTTCCTATTTTCATTCAATGTTGCGGGGAGCAGGCTGCATATAAGGCTTTCTGTAACATTGTGGGGTTGCCATATTGAGAAACCAATAACAAACACTAGTTTTACCATGTTAATTTATATCACTATAAGTTGTCTTTTGCTTCAACTAAAATTACTGTTCAAGCTTTTTAATTAAATATTGTGCAATACTTACACTAAAACATTACAGCCGGCTGAATTCTCTTTCTCGAATGACAAATGTTAAGCAGGTAGTGTCCTCGCTTGAAGTCCTCCACGGCTGCGAGTAGACTTGAATTTCAGCAATGAAGACAATGCAACTGCAAAATATTTGCTTTTTTAAATATTGTAATAAATTGACTCATCATGATGGTTAATTGATTGACTCATCATGATGGATGGATTAATGGTTAACTCATCGTCATAATACTGTGGCTTCCACAATTAAATACAACGCTCCCAAATCGAAAATATGAACAGTTGACATATGTCTGCTATGGTAATGACCGAAGATCGTCTGAAACCATCATTAACTCGTAACAAATCCAATGTAAGAACTTACTGGTTCTAAAGTCATTCACTGTATTTGAAAAAACGTAAATGACTAAATATTTTTACTTAGTAATTTTGTTCATGTTATTATTAGTAATGCTCATCACAAGCAAGTTAATAAAATATTTAATACACTTAAATATCATATGCATATATTGTTTTGATTACAAAATTTACACTTTATTGAATAAGATAAACTAAAGGACGCCTACCTATTATGTAGATTGTAGACCATAATGATGTTAACTGAACCAGTTAGCCCTCTAGAGTCCATCTGGATACTGGACTGGTATACCAACATGGGCGAGGCTGTCTATGTAGTCATTCATCCAGTTACTGACCGGACCAAATGCTGCTCAATATAAGTGACCAAATGAAACATACAACATCCACTGTGTCACACCAATAAATGTGTATATAACTCATAAATGATACACATTTCAATGAAAAATAATGCAAACACGACTAAACTGAAACGTTCTAAAAATTATGACGGTCATATAATAATAAAATTATTAGATACAATTATTAGATTGTACAATGTACATTAGATTATAGATACAATAAAGAAATCAATATAGAAATTATTCGAGTACAAGAAAGCAATCCAGTAACAAAATTATAAATCTGTAATTTAAACATTTAAATGATTAAGCTGAAAGAAAACTAGTATAAACATAATTTTAAATTAACAAACTGTATTGAGCAGAAAAACAATTCAACATGCATTAAGCTACAGGTAATAATACAAAAATTAATATGATTAACGGGCAAAAATTAATACAAAGCAATAAAACAAAATAAATTATGCTGAAAGGCAGACAATTATGAAAGGAAAAACATTAAAAGTTGTGGGAGGAAAAAATTAGTAGCTGAAAGTAAAAAAAAAATTAATATGCTGAAAAGATAATCATTTAAATTCTGTAAATTCTGAAAGATAAAAAATGGTATGCTGGAAGGGAGAAATTTTTATTCTGCAGGGAAAAAATTAATATGGTGTTAGAACAATTTAGAACAATTTAGCATTAATTAGGCCAAGGTAATAATGCAAAAATTAATACGCTTAACGGGCAAAAATTAATGCTAGGCAATAGAACAAAATAAATTATGCTGAAAAGTAAGACATTTAGCATGTTGAAAGGAAAAACATTTAAGTTGTGGAAGGAAAAAAAATTAGTAGCTGAAAGTACAAAAAATATAATAATATGGTGAAAAGAAAATCATTTAAATTCTGTAAAGAAAAAAATTGTATGCTGGAAGGGAAAAATTAGTATTCTGCAGGAAAAAAATTAATATGGTGTTAGGGAAAAAGCATACTATAAAAAATTATCCTGTACAAAAAAATATAACATCCTATACGGAAAGGAATCACAAAATTCGGTAATAGTAATGAAAACCATTACAAAACATTAACCTGTAGGGGAAATCTATTGATAAATGATTAGACTACATGGAAAGCATGTGCATAAATATTTAGGTTATACACAAAGCAATTGAAAAAATAAATAGGTTACATGCAAACCATTATAAAAATACAGGTGATTAGGTTATACGGAAATAATTATAAGGGAAATAAGCTGTAAAGAAAAATAACAATTATTAGCATTTTAATAAAACAATTAAAGTGCATAAAATATAATTTTGAAATGGTTAAACTGCTAGAAACAAATCTAGCCTCTATGGACACCAGAAGGGACATAGGATCCCAATCATGGCTACTGGGGAGGATAATCGCCATGACTAATTTGGAGGTAATTGTAGCCCCAAAAGTAACCTGGAGGTGAAGAGGTGCTCCATCGGTAGTCGAAGAGGAAAATAAACTTCCAAGGCTAGTAGAGTTGAAGAAGCTCCGAAGCTTGCAGTGAAGTACCCTGCTGTGGTGAAATGGAGCAAACAAGGTTTGCTGCAGAATGAAGACTAGCCAGGGGAAGAGGACCCCCCCTCCTCCCTGGCTAGCAGGGAATGGAGTCCCGCCGGGGTTAAGTACAACCATTAAGGCTGCCCAAGGCCAAGAGGGCCCCAAGGGCTATCCTGGAGTAGGTTAACACTCAACCCCACCAAGGCTAGCCTAGGGAGGAGAGTACTTCCTTCCCCCTGGCTAGCAGCGATTGGTGTTCCGCCGGGGTCAAGTACAACCATTAAGGCTGCCCAAGGCCAAGAGGGCCCCAAGGGCTATCCTGGAGTAGGTTAACACTCAACCCCACCAAGGCTAGCCTAGGGAGGAGAGTACCTCCTTCCCCCTGGCTAGCAGCGATTGGTGTTCCGCCGGGGTCAAGTACAACCATTAAGGCTGCCCAAGGCCAAGAGGGCCCCAAGGGCTATCCTGGAGTAGGTTAACACTCAACCCCACCAAGGCTAGCCTAGGGAGGAGAGTACTTCCTTCCCCCTGGCTAGCAGCGATTGGTGTTCCGCCGGGGTCAAGTACAACCATTAAGGCTGCCCAAGGCCAAGAGGGCCTCAAGAGCTATCCTGGAGTAGGATAACACCCACCCCCACCAAGGCTATCCTAGGAGGTGAGAACAGCCAAGTCCCCTACCAGGAACAGCCTGACCAAAGAATGGGAATGAAGTTGCCCAAAATATAAATTTAAAAGCCTACCTGAGAGAAACATCCGTCAAGTCTTAAAAACAATATCAAGAAGCAGCATATCTTGCAGAGTTCGACCACCTCTTGCAGAGTTCGCTCACGTCTTTCACGGCTCAAGCAAGTCAGAAGAGTAAGCATTCTGGAAATAAATAAATATACTGTATATATACAATACTGTATATCCATTAAGAAAAAGAAAGAAAGAGAGAAGACAGAAGAGAAAAAGGGAGAGGAGAGGAGGAAAGAGGACACGAGAGATGAGTAAGGAGAAAGAGGACACGAAAGATGAGTAAGGAGAAAGAGGAGAGGGATGAGGAGAGGAGGAGAAAGAGAGGGATGAGAGGAGAGTAAGGAGGAGAAAGAGAGGGATGAGAGGAGAGTAGGAGGAGAAAGAGAGGGATGAGAGGAGAGTAAGGAGAAAGAGGGATGAGGAAAGGGAAAGGAGAAAAAGGAGAGGAAATAAGAGGGATGAGAAATTATTATTAACATCTTTACTGACAAAGTTTAATTAAAATTTTGCCGAATCTGCGTAATTGAATTAGGCCTTATTAGAGTGAGGATGATGCTGGTATTCATTGTCACACAGGACAGAGAATCATACACTAGACAATAAAACTGAAGGCTGAAGCACATATATATCAGTTATAATCAACTACATTAGATTATACATGTTTCAATTTACAAATTTCTATTGCGCACTGACACACAAGGGCAGGGATAAAATTTATGAGATGAATAAAAAATAGAAAAGAGGAAATAAGATAAAGAAGTTATGAGATAAAGGAGAGGAAGGAGTAGAGTGGGGACAAAGAAGAGGAGATGAAAGATAGGGAGTGGATATAGGAGGCAAAAGAGGATAAAGTAGAAAAATTGAAAGGAGAGTAAAGGGGAGAAATAGAGGAGAGGACTGAGAGAAGAGGGAGGACAGAAATTAATAGATAAGAGAGAAAAGAGGGTAAGGAGGAGACGAGAAGAGGAAAAAGGGTGATGGTACGGACACAATAAGAGGAAAAAGGTCGACAAAAAGAGATACGAGAACGGAAGATAAGAAAGAGCTGAGAAATATTAGAGGAAAGAGGGAGAGGATAAGACTTGAAGAGAAAAGAGGGAGAGGAGAGGAGAAACTAGGGACCGGAAGAGGTGGGGCGAGAAAAGATGCGAGAAGTGAGATATGAGTTGAGAGAGGAGAGGAGAGGAGACAGAGAGAGATGAGATGAGAGAAAAGGAGAAGAGAAAAATGAGGGAGGGGAAAGCGAGTGAGGGAAAGGAAAGGATGGGAGAAGAGACGAGTGAGATATGAGTGGAGAGTAAAAGAGGATTGAGCTATGAATGGAGAGGAAAGGAGAAGATTGGAGAAAGGAGAATAGCAAGAGAGGAGTGAAAGACGAATGAAAAGAGTGAAATGAGAGGAATGGGGAGAACGGAAAGGACGGGAGGAGAAGAGTGACATGAGGTGAGAAAGAACTGAAAGATATGAATAGGGAGAAGAGGAAAGGAAAGAAGGAGCAAAGGAGAAAGAAAGGAAGAACGAAGAAAGGAGAACGAGGGAGGAGATGAAGGTGAGAGAAAGGACGGGAGACGAGAATGTGGAGTAAAGATAAAGGAGAGGAGACGAATGAGAGATGAATGGAGAGAGGATAGAAGAGACGGGAGAAGGAAATAAGTAAGAGTGGAAAGGAGTGGTAAGGAGAAAAGAGTAAAAGGGAGGCGAAAAAGGAGTAAGAGAAAAGAGGAAAGGAGAGGGAGGAAAAAAGAAAAGGAGGGCAGAAATAACCAGAGGGAGGATATAGGAGGAAAGCAGAGGAGTGAGAAGAGGGAGGAGAAAGGAATGAAGGGGAGACGAGAGGAGTGACAAAAGAGAATGAAGGGAGAATAGAGTAAGGTGGAGAGATATGAATAGGGAAAGAAGGAAAGGAAAGAGGGAGCAAAGAAAAAGGGAGGGAAAAGAGGAAGAGGGGAGAGAAGAAAGGAGAGGGAGAAAGAGGAAGAGAGAAAGGACAGGAGAGGAAACACAAAGGAATGGAGTGAAGAGATTGGGAGAAGAGAGGGGAAGAAGTGGTGATTGAGAGAAGAGATGTAGGAGGGGAGAGGAAAAATGAAGGGAACGAGAGGAGAGGAAGAGGGTAGAAAAGAGGACAGGAGAGAGAAGGGAGAGGAGATGGAAGAGAAGTGAAGAATAGAGAAGACAGGGAAGAGAGGAAAAAGTGCAAA